AATTTTGTATGGAGATTTCGGTGAATTGGGTTCTTTAATTTTGAAAAATGTATCGTTTTTTATACATCATCTGAAAGAGCTTCGTTTTCGGAGCACAGCGATATTTTTTTCGAACCCATTCACTTTCATCTCGATTTTTAAATCTAGATTTAAAGCAAAATAATAACTTCACTGTTTGACACTAAACTAACAAACTGACAGCTCGCTCCCATACAAAGTGACACCGAGGGGTGCTAATAAGGTGATTTTTGCAAATGTAATCGTACTTATTTAAACTAGTTCCAGTGTACCAAAATTGATGAAATTTTGGGTTTGGGTTCTATTTTTAATGCAGATTACGAATATGCATTTACCTCAATACCCTTAAAGAACCCAATTAGTATGGGTAATTATTGACCTTTACTTACATTGCTCTAACTTAGATTGTAGTTGTCCAAACATTGACATAAAATAATATGTGGTTGCCATGACAATGGTTAACAAGCCTGTTGTTGTTTTCAAAACTGATATGAAGATCCTAGAAACTCGAAGAAGTTAGCTAACCTTCTTCGTCATTTCCAGAGCTACTTCTAAATTTTCTGATATTCTACGAAATTCACTGAGCTTATAAAAGTCGGCCAAACTTTTAAACGAAGTTCTCTGAATTAATTCAAAGTTCTCGCACTTCTATTCTAAGTTTTACGAAGTTCCTCGAATTGCTACGTAATACACTAAATTTCTACAAAGTTCGCTGGGCTACTGCGAAGTTCGCTGCATTCCTAGAAAAACCCCTGAAGAATTTCGTTGTTTTTCTGCGGAGTTCTCTGTACAAAGCTTTCTGAACTTCTTCAGAACTCCCTGAGCTTATCCAAGTCAATTGAACTTTGACGAAGTACCCTGATGTTAAAAATGGTTCTGGATTGTTTATGAAGTTTTCTGAAACTAAACAAAGTTTCCTTAACTTCAATGAAGATTTCTCAAACTCGTACAAAAATCTCACTTCTACGAAGTTTTAAAGAATGTTTACAAAGCTTCCTCAATTGATACGGAGTTCTCTGAAATTCTGCGAAGTTCCCCGAATTTCTATTGAATTTTCTGAATTTCAACGATGTCTACGGAGCACGTTCAAACGGAGTTGCTCAAATGTCTACAAAATTCGCTAAATTTCTTTTATGCTCACTAAATGTTTACAAAGTTCGATGAAGTTCTGCAAAGTTCTACGGTCTTCTGCAAAATTTTCTGAAGTTCTACAAAATCATCTGCTCTTCTACGAAGTCCGTTAAACTTCTATAACGATCGCTGAGCATTTACAAAGTGGACTGAACTCCTGCTGCTCTTCTGGAAAGTTTCCTGAACTTCTACGCACTCAACTTTTACCAAGTTTTCAAAAGTTCTTTGAATTCTCCTGAAGATCTTTGAAATTTCACGATGTTCCAAAATGTGCCCTAAACTCAAACTTCTACGACGTTCTCTTATATCTTAACTTCTACGAACTACCCTTGACTTATAAGAAGCTCCATGGACTTCTGTGAAGATTTAGTTATTTTAATTTGAAAATAATTAACACTTTCCTCCGCCCACATATTCTAAAAGCAGACATGTGAAGACATTTCGTCGATCTCGTGTAAGATTTTTCCAAAATACACCTGACATCCCTGCTCTTGTCCGTTTTTGATCTTGTTTAACGTCCGTTGGTTGATAAACTATAATTGATTGTCAACCCCCCTCTTTATTTAGAACCTTTGGGAAAAGGTCGGTAGGATAAATGATCGGAAGCCAGTCATTACCGGGTATGTTATCTGAAAATCGCTTTTGCGGTAAAAAGAAATTTAATGATAACGCTATGTCAGAAATCGAAAGTAATAATGATATAATCTTCTTCCTTCTTTTTCATGACAAGCAGCCCGTGCGACACAGCTCACTCGGGGTGGTAGAAAGAAACGAGTAAATTGTTGGCAAGCTGCAACAAAGCAGGCAAGCAATATATTATTAGCCTTCTACCACTCCGATAGATTTATGTTACAAAGCGAGTTTGTCATTGTAGTTGTAGCAACCGTTTTCTCTGTATCGTTGGTTGCTTTATGTGTTTGGATTCGCTGCCCTTGGGTCATTCGTGACTTGTCCGAGGATGAGATTTGAACTCGTGACTATCCCACCTAAGACTTATAAAAATCTAACTGCCTTAAGTACTCATCCCCTAAATAAACATATCAGGTGTTTATGTGCTATGATTTATTGAAAAATGTCGAATACGGCATTTTGAAAAGTAAGTTGGTAGTTAAAGTAGCCGAATTTCAGCACAAACTTGCTTAATTGACTAGTGACGAATGCAAAGTTTCATGGAATTCTTAGAGGCAAAATCTAAAATTTATGTATTTTTTTCGCTATTTGGCCTGAAATTGTTCATCTGCGTAGTTCCTGAGTTTTTGAAAAGTTCAATGAAGTTATCCCTAAACTTTAACGAAACTGCCCGGATTTCTACATTTTTTTTCTAAATTTATCCCAAATTCGTTTCATTTCGACAACGTTTGCTAAAGCTCAATTAAGCTCTTTGAAGTTCTACAAAATTTTCAGAAGTTTAACCAAACTTTCTGAAAATCTACAAAGTTCACTGAAGTTCTACGAGGTTCATTGACAATTTTCAAAGTTAGTAGAATGAAAATAAAATATACTAAACTTTAGAAAGTTTATACTTTAATTTCTGCGCAGTTGCTTTCACCGGCCTGCCACGGTAGTCACTAAAGGCTACTCGATGGCCTTGGTTTTTATACGATTTATGCAGGTTGTACATATCAGAGATATGGACAGTTTCATAAATTTCAGGGAAATTACAGGAACTTTATATAAGTTCTGGGAAATTCCGGGAGCTCAAAAATAATCAGAAATCTTCCGAGTTCACTAGATCAATTTCTAAAACTTCTGTGATGTTCCAAGAACTTAAAGGAATATCCGCAACGTCCAGAGAACTTCAGGAAAGTTCCGTAAGCTACAGGAAAGTCCAGAACTGTCAGGAAGATTGATGATCTTTAAAGATAAGTTCCGATAATTTCAGTTCAGTTACATGAACTTCAGGAAATCTTAGTGAACATAGATGAAGATCAGAAAACCACACGACAGTTCCATTAACTTCATGAAAATTTGGGGTACTTTTCAAGACCTTCAAGAAACTTTTGAAAACTTTGGGGAATTTATCATAACTGAAAAATGCTACTCATAATCAGAAAATAAGCTGTATATCTTCGATCAGTCATGCAACCGAAATGATAGAGTTCTCATAGCATATCCCAAGTCACCAACAAGCCCGCTAGTGAATCGTTAAGGCAAAGCAATTTTTCACACAGATGGCGCTGTTCCATCGGTAGTAAGTGATAACAATCCCCTTATAGAAATTTGGAAAAGTGGAAAAAATATGCTTTTGATGCATATTCAGTCCAGAAAAAGGTGGCGACAACCTAAAGCATTCATTCGTGGGCTTTCTCATGAACTTTTTTCCGTGAAATGATATTTAAACAATCTACAATTAAATACATACGATTTATTTCCGTACAACTTTTTACCGTTCTGCTACTAGTCCCCAGAGAGTCAAAATAAAATCAAATTTGAGAGCGAAGATTCTCGCTCACGAGCTCAATCTCTCAACATGCAATGGATTTTTATGACACTTAGATTACAAAATAGATTACCTAACATTGCAAAACATGTCTAGTACCGTAAAACGGGGTATCTTTGATAATGCGGATAACTTTAGTATAATATAAAGAATAAATTTACTCGCTGCGCTGAAACATTGGTTCCATATTGTAGCTTAGGGTATTTCTGTTGATATCGTATATAGTTTTTGTATAGTCGAAAGAAAGGCAAAAAACAAGGGAAAAAAGGAACGAATAAACAACTCATTTAATAATAAAATAATAAATTATAAAAAATATATATGAGTAGTTTTAGGATAAAACACAGAGCAAGTGACGATTGAGAATTTCCATACAGTATTTTGTAATTTTTGAAGGGGAAGTAAAATTAAAAAAAAAACATCAGTCTAACTAGGATATTTTTACAAGTATTTTTTTTAAAACATGGGAATTCAGAATCTGATTCAACGTTTAAAGAACAGTCTTAGTTCAATCTATCACTTTTCTATGTTCGGCTTAATGACCCTAATGACCCTACACTAAGATAATGGCTTCTTTCATTGAACACTGTGTCGAAAGTAGCTGGAAATGTCTCTACATGGCCATGGACTTACAAAAAGAAAGCGACGAAAAGCTACACGTTGCATGGGTCCTTTTGCATTTCTCGGGATTATTGAACTTATACATTGTTGTTCCAATCTATAATTTCAGCCAAATGAAACTACTTATGGCTTTTTGCCAAATTACTTATAAAAGCGAAATAGAATTACAAATTTATTTAAACAAAACATGACTCTTGAGTGCAAGAGATGAACTAGCCTCAGGCTAAAAATCTCTAAAATAAAGACAAAAAAAAAAAAAAAAAAACTCTTGAGTGCAACTAACTGTAGATAACCAATGCTACTTTATCACAGATAACTCTAAGAGATTTTTTTTTCGAAACAAAGCACATTCCCAGCATTTATTCGCATACCTTTCCCAACCCCGAGTCGTCGCTATTTTCATCACCTTCAGGTGAAGAGCGCGTGCTAATTGGTCTATTATGACAAGTAGGCATACCTACACATTTCGCGCGCGCGATTCCATCTACCATCCAGAACGTACAAAGCGGTATTATTTTCCACAAACAAACAAACAAAAGCGACAACGACTGATACCGGCACCGGTACAGCTCATTACCATAATTAGCATAGTTTTTCCTCCCTTCGAGCATCGAAGGTTACAGTACATGCACAACATGCTATCGCTCTTATCTCATCTCTTGGGATCTCTGCCTCACCTTAGGGCAATCCCTACTGAAATCTAACTCTTCCGAACAAAAATGATCCACCTCGTAGTCGTGTCCGTAGTTAAATCTCATTAATCGTGTTTTATTTTTATTTATTTTTACAGAAAATCTTGGCCAAGGCCATCTACGAGAACATCGCAGAGAGCACGGATGAGCTGGCCTTCCGGAAGGGCGACATCCTAACCGTCATCGAAACCGACACCAGCGAACTCAGAGGATGGTGGCTGTGCCAGCTGCGGGGACGACAGGTAGGAAGCGTTATCTATTTCTATTCGGGTTTCTGTTTGAAAAGGATTATCGAGATAACCGATTTTAAGTGATTCACATATCGTAAAGCAGTTCGGAAGGCAAACCGAATTGAGACTTAAATAGCAAACTGCTCAGGGGCATCGGAAATACAGTTTTACTTGCAACAAATGGGAATCATTTAAAAAAAATAATCTGATGTTTTTTACAATGTATATGACAGTACATCTATCCGATGTTGGTTTTCGTTGTTATAGACGTATAAATCAGACGTCAAATTATTGTGAATCAAGTTTATTAAAAATTGCTCAACACGCTATTTCTAAACTTCCAAATTTGATTAGGATCCACTCATATCGATCAAAAATGAAGCTACTCTAAAATGAGTACACTAACTTGGTAGTAAGAAATCGAAAATGACCAGTCCGAACTGCTTCAGACTAGGAGAACAGGATTTTTCTGTAATCAAAGGACCCGGTGTACTGTTCATTGCACCAGTTAATGAGAGAGTAGCAAGTCTTTGCAGCTTCTTCTGAGCCGATTTTTCATTAGTTTTTGGCCACCTAACCAATTATCCGTAGGATATTCTGGGTCTTACAATCGTCAAATAAATCCAGTGGATCATTTTTGGTTTTAGGCCCAATTTTCAACCAAACGTTTTTTTTTTTACTTATCCAAAGCTCATTTGTTGCCTTATTAAAAACCTGCTCTAGTGGTGCATTCCAGTTAAGGTCTGTATCCACAATAATCCGGACACATAAAACTTAAGTAAAACACAAACTTTGCATTATATTTCAATTGTAGTTAATTATTTCTGATTCATGGGATATGATTTAAAAAATCACGAATTCAAAAAAACACAGATATTCGATATTTGCATAAAATTATCGAACTTTGCGCTTAACTCCATCCATTTGGGTTTGTACAGACTCCTCAGATACCGTGGTGGCCGCCCTTGTCCAAATTTGTTGGAAGTGTTTTATATCTTTGATTCCTTATTTCTTTCCAAAAAGCTTCCGCTTCATCAGCCCAATATCTCTCGATTGGATGTTACTTTGGACAATTTGACGGATTTGCGTTTTTTGGTACAATATTCACTTGATTTACTTCGTACCACTGCATAAGAACAATGGTGACAATAATAAGTACTCAGGACCACACTGACCATACATGTTCCGGGTGCTCCCGGGGAGTTTCATAAATTTCCCGAAATTTTCCTGAGGTCAATGGAACTTCTCTGGAGTTCTCGGAACTTCCCTGAAATTCTCTTCAGAAATGCTCTGAATTTCTCCTCAGAACTACTGTGAATGTCTACTCAGAAATACTCTGAAACTCTCCACAGAAATACTCTGAAGTTCTCATCAGAACTACTCTGAAGTTCTCCTCAGAACTACTTTGAATATCTCATAAGAACTACTTTGAACTTCTCCTCAGAACTATTCTGAAGTTCTCCTCAGAATAACTTTGAAATTCTCCTCAGAACTACTCTGAAGTTCTCCTCAGAACTAAGTTTCTGAAGTTCTCATAAAAACTACTCTATTCCTTCGATGAAGTTTTCAACATTTTCCTTAAATGTAGGAAGTTGTCCGAATATTCTTTTTTTTTTCCTTTGGTTTGTTTTTTTCCGTCGATCTTGTTTTCCGTGCTGAGCACCAATGCTACCGGTGTGCCAGGAAGGCAGCTCCCACACCTGGACCCTACCTATCGACCCATCAACTTATGAACCGGGGACCAACGGCTTTACTTCCCATCCGAAGGAATGCGTGATCAGAGATGTTATGCCTCAGAACATCCCGGCGGCGCCGACTGGGATTGAACCCAGGCCTGCTGGGGTGAGAGGTAATCACGCTTACCACTACACCACCGGCGCCGTTGTCCGAATATTCTCTTGAAGATCTTTAAACTTTCCCGCTAGTCGGGACTTTCCTAAAGATATATTTACTCCCCCAGCAGTTCTTTTAACTTCTCAATAAATTAGTGTTGTCTGGACTTCCCTAAGATTCACGAACTTTCCTTAAGCTTTTTCGCAGTTTTCCTGATATTCATAACTCTTCTCCGAACTTGATTCCTTCACTTTGGGTGACAGGGTTTAATATACCTATTAGTTTTCTGTTCCATTTGCTGAATAGCTTTTATCTTGTTATTTTTCGATTTCAGTTAGTTTTAGTAGTATTAAAGTGAACTCAATCGGCCCTCGTAAACGCTAATTGAAATCGGTGTTTGAGCATTAATCACCCGCCATGAAGATAGCCTCTAGCCGGGCCTCCTGTAAAGCACCAGCAGCCTCTCGATTCTGATAGTGGCGCTTAAGCTGCTGCTTGCAAAGAGCTTAAAACGTTACAAACTCCGATGGGGGGCGACTCTTTTTACGATGCAAGAAAAATGTGTTTTACTGTGGTTAGCTGCGCGCACGCTGAGTAGATGCAAGTAGATGCGAGAAATGAAAGAAGATTTTTCGAAGATTGATTCACTAGTGTGAGATTTGTTGAGCATCTAGAATTGAGATTTAAATGTGTCGCCCCCCTTGACAAACTTATGGACCGGGGACCAACGGCTTTACTTCGCATCCGAAGGAAGCCGTGATCAGAGATTTTATGCCACACAAAATCACGATGGCGCCGACTGGGATTGAACCCAGGCCCTTTGGAACAAGCGGAACGATGATAATTATCCAACTTTTGTTCTATAATTTCCAGCTAACACCCATTTAGCTTTTCATCATTCGCCACTCGAAGCACAATCTATCATCTCCGCCATGAAATCCTCCGAAATCCAACTAATTATTTAGCGAAGGATCCAATTTCAAGCGTCTTACTCCCTCCTTCAGTTTCCCCTCCTCCACACAATGGATCTCTAATAATAATTATAATAATAATAATTCAAAAAGCACACAATTTCGCTTTTAATCTTTCTCATTTCGAAAAATTTAATAATCTCCCAAAATGTGTGCCGACAAAGACGGAACATGGCTTCGCTGCTTACCGGGTTCTGGCCCCGAGAGGAAGGAGAGTGAGTTCCATATAAATCTTTTAAAACGAGCAGAATGAATTCACTCCCTCCTTGTACATGGGGCCTTATACGACTGCCGTACGCTTCGAAGCGTGTAAATATTTACCTCAATCTTAATTTCACGATGCTCGAACCAGAAATCACCTCGTTTCGTTCGTTCTCGTTCTCTTCCGTTCCGTGGAGTGGGTCCCTAAGAGCAGGATCATTTAGAAGAACAATCCATAAACGATGCCCGCGATTCGGTTGTATAAAGGGGGACTTCTCTACTGAGACGTCGTCTTTGGAAATCCCCTCTGTGTTTTCAAAGATGCTGTGTGGGAGTATAATCAAAAATTATGCTTGAGCGCTTTGTAGAAATGAATAGTATGTATGATGATACCAACAACAACAACAACAACGGTATTGTGGAGCTTGCTTCGTGTGCTGTTGCATCACCATCACAGAGCACATGTGAATGGAATTCTAAGGAACCCTCTATCAGGAAAACCATAACCTCTCGCGGGAACTGTGGATCTAGGGTAGAGCAGTCAATGTTTGTTCAATTTTTAGAACATTAGTTCATATCAAAATCTCATCTTGCAGGATTTAAATGTTCTCTATGTTTCAATTTGGCAAAATTACCTCGGCATTCGCCTTGGCTCCGCGAAGTGGGCGAACTATTGAGCCGTTACCTTATGTTAAAGGAGACAAAAGGGTTATTATACCATGCTCCTTTGGTACGCACTAGTGGCAGCATTGAAAGCGAAGGAGTTTATACAATGAGTTCTGATGCCAAAATTTGCATGCTCTGCTGATGGTGTTGACGATGGCTCTAATGAAAATATCAACATGGGAGAAGGGATTAAAAAAAGGATGCACATGAGGTGTGCCGACAGTACTAATAAGGCGTATCTTACGTAATTCCCCTCCGGCGAACAAAGATTTTCTCGAATCATTCCGCCAAAGGAAGTTGAACCACAAACCCATCATTTGAGAGTCTTTGTACCGGGCGAGAATATCCATCTCAAGAGCCGATAAAACAGCAGCAATTTATCCGCCTTCCAATCTTAATCCATCGTTTTATGAATGAACCCACGCAAACGTCTCGCATCGAACCACACCCCAGCCCTTCCGAATTGAAGCTGCTCTGATCGTGCATGGCTCTTTTATTCGTTAGCTCCAGCCACCGCCTACTTGCTGCACGCACTGTACTCGGATGTTGGACACAGCAAGCCATATAATCGGGCGCTCTTTGCATGAATATAAATATCCTAGTTTTATATGGCTAATAAATTAACAGCTGCTTACAACCGGCCGGCCATTCACCGATTCGCGGGAAAGGTGTACTACTACGAAACCATATTGCATATTGGATATTGGCTCATAATGGGCATGGTGGTGCAAATTTTTAACACCCACGTGGAGCAAGATTCTGCCCCGGATGGTATTAATCTCAATTTCATTACAAATTATTGCTATAGTCGAGTGCGAATGGCCATAAATTTGCAAATGCCCACCATGCAGGCGGTAAATTGTTTGGCTGGGTTGACATTTCTTTTCTTGCTTCAGGTAAAATACAAACATTGTAATACGCTTGTCTTTTAAGTTGGGTGCAGTTTTGAATTTGTTTAACGTTCATGTAACTACTTTAGAGCAGTGATGCTGTAAAGCTCATTGGGAATACGACGAATTTCACGCAAACTCGACTATGGAGTTGGCGGCACCCTTCAAATTCAAATGAAACAATGTGGGTGTAAAGATTTTATCTAGTTAAGCAACTCTGCATGTAAAACAGCAAAAAATGGTTATCTTCCATTTAATTCCACTTAATTAATGTTGGTATCCATGACAGATACGTATTTGGATTTTGATAAGTTTTTAGTGGGAATGACACTGATGAAGACTGCACATTGTAGCATTAACTGTGGCAAAGTTATTCAGATAATCAAATCCTTTTGAATGGAGGTCCGACTAGTTCAGAATTCTTACACCATGTAGCGCTAGTTTATACTAT